TTTCATTTGGTGGGGTGACCAGGATAAGATTGAAGATCCCGTGGCCGCAACCCTTTGAGGATGGGGATGTTCGGACCTTCCTGGAGGAATTTGCGGAGGCTGCCGGGCTGGAGACCGACCAGAGTTAGTTGGCAGCGCTGAAGACCCTCCTCAGGGGCCGGGCGAAGGCGGTCCTGGATGCGGCCAGAAGAGTATTCAGAGATTCAAATCAAGGAGCGGGCATTAAATGCGTATTCTCTTACATACATAAAACACCGGCAATTCTGAGCGACAGCAAAGTTGTTGATGATATATGAAGAAATTTTAAAACAAGATACAGAGATATGTCTACAAACTAAAAAGACAGAAAACTTACGTTCACTTGCGCTCAACACGTTTTGGGGGTCACAGACAGGCACAGTAGAGTTATAACATGCCTCCAGTAGGTCCAGTTTTAGTTCGGTAGAGGCTTCGTGCTCCAGTGACGGCCAACATAATGATAAACGTAGGTGAATTAAAACCAGAATGGGAAACCGCATATGAAGTAGTATCCGGTATTCTATAGGATACAGAAAACCCACATTGTAGCGTACAGCTTGTACATAGATCAAAATTGTGGTGCTGAGGAAAATGGTGATTTGATGAAATCGCGACAAAAACAGATGTCATCAGTTTCGCAAAAAAGCAGTAAAAAGTCTAGCAGAAAGATGAATCAAATAAAGCCGTGGAACTTGGAGTTTTGTTATAGCTTCTCAAAACAAGGAGAGTTCAATCTGTTGATTCTTCGAGCGTTATCGGTTTGTTTTAATGTGGCCAATGACCGCTCACAGCCATCCAAATCACCGGTAGTAATATGCCAGGAAATAACACTCAACAGCAAAGAATTGCGAAGATAGAATGCCCAGGAAATAGTGAAGAGTAAGAGGTTTAGGTGCGGTGTTGCCAGAGCTTCCAGCCATGTGCAGAGGTAATCCTGCAGGTTCTAGACGGAAAGATGCGAATACCCCATTGCAATCCGTTTGGTTAAGTAGCCTCATCGTCGTCTGTCTTCCTGTGAACTTCGTAACAGGGATTTAAATAAATAAAAACACTTTCTACGGCAGTTAAATTTAAGGTCTGCGATATATATATATATGTGCATATATATATATATATATATGTATATATATATATCCCAATCAACCTAAATTGACTAAGTTTATGTACTGTTCTATAAAATCCGCTTCACCACCTGGTACTTACTTACAAAACATTCGTTGAGAAACTGAAGCCAGCTAACTCCTACTATTTTATTAAGATGTCAGTGACGCTGAAAGCTCCTAGGTAGGACAGACCAGGCTCTACAACTATAAAGAAAGACTACTCTTATGGTCGTCCAGGACATTTGGTTCGCTTGATTCAGTGGAAGTCGTTTCTGACATCATAAATTATCCCAACTTTGTTTTTTTTCACGGTACAACCACGGTTATTGATTCTCAATATACAATACGGTTTGTTCCCATTTGACCCCCCAGCACCAGCCATATTCCAGTAGACAATGAAGAGAGTGTTGACCGGCTTAGGTGGAACTGCCGCTTACGTGAGGGGAATCGTTGTCACTAATGCTACTCACGAAGAACTTCTGTCTGGGTTAGCTTATGTCCTCGATCGAATCCACAGTTGTTTTTCATTTGCGAGCAGAGAACTATGTATTTCCTTCATGTTCATTAAATTTATCTATTTTTGATAAAACGGGTCGTCGTCTCGACTCAGAAAATACTCCTGATATACAACAGATATTACCCCAACGGACGGATACTTCTCCGCTCTGTAAGCCATTACAATGCATTTCCCTAGAAATGTGTCAAGTTTCTGATCCGTAAAACCATTTAAAAGAGGATGTGCCATGAGACTAGTTAAATGATACCACTCCATTCCTGTTTCAACCCAATTATGAACATTATTGTTATCAGAGGTATCCGACTAAGGCAGTGAAAATGTCACTTTCTATACTTATGCGATAGAACTAAAAAAATTATAGCTCATGCAGCCAGATCATCAACATCCACTGAACATAATTAATCGGGAGATGAGCCTTGACAATCGTGTTCGACATCGAAAGTTTCACAGTGTTGTATGGACGTCAGTCCAAAGACCAAAAAACTTTCATAAGTGTTCCGGAACAAAGAAGGTATTTCGGTTTGTACAGATCGTCGTTTGTAACGATGAACAGCCATCCTTCTACGTTATAGTTTTTCCACTAAGTACCAACCAAATGGCGCCACATGCAAGACTGACAGCCTTAGGATAGTCGTTACGTGAGCACCGGTGGTGCTAGAAGTTTAGACTGTGATAACTATTGTAATTCCAGGACTTGCATCTACTTCTGTGAAGACTCATGACTTTAAAAGGCGCTAACTCTCACATCAGAAATTGCTAGCCACCGACTTCTCCGACAATTAATTTTAGCCGTCCCTTCATCGTTAATCCTCTTTCTAAGGTTGACAGATGTACACTCTTCATCGAATGTGAAGGTCCTCGGAACTACAACACAGTCCTTAAACACTCATTTCGGGCATTCCGAGAGTGGGGGCGTGAAGGCCATGACCCACAACTACGTTTATTGGCCGAAAATGGGTAAACAACTGGAGGAGCTCGGTTGCACATATTCCATAGGCCATTTGAAAAACATAATTGTGCTCGTGGTGGTCATGAGTTCATACCAATTTCCCGGTTCCCATCAACGGGAGACATCACCTATTTCTCGTAGACACACCCAATGGACCACCATCTCACAAACTACAAAACGTGTCCAATCGTTCTGAGTTTCGGGACATCTTAGTCTCTAACAACTGCAGTGCAATCACCACATAATTTTCAACTTTCTATCAGGAAGAGAATATCCAGGATATTCAGACAACCCCATTCCATTCAAAACAAAACAACCAGGTGGAACGACTTGTGGACACTTTCAAAAGAGGTCTACTGCAATTCTTGGGATAAGGGAGATCAAGATGCTTCGACTGAGCTAAGTCGTAACACTAGAAACCAATAAACCAAACCGGCAGGTGTAATGATGGATCGGAAAACCCGCCTACCTGTTGACGTGACCCTAGACATGTCTACACCGAACGGCCTCCAGGAACACAATTACTCCGGTGCTGCCCACCATGCGTTCGCTTCCGATTAATCTGTAACGGTAATAAATTCTCGCATCTGTTCCGAGAAATGGGCTGTTATGTGTGTCGCAATGGGAATGTAACGTGGGAAGTAGATGCACATTCTTCATTTTGGGTGCGCATGTGCAGCTGCGACCTTCACCTCTATCTGTGATAATATACACACGACCCAGTTCTGCCACTCGATTTTCTGGCAGGGACATATAAACTTTCGTCGAGAAGAAGATTCTTTGAACTTTGTTGTACCAGATGTCCCAACAATTCGTACGCAAAGAGGGTGGACTGATCAGATCGTGCCAATTAAGAACCCGCGATTTCAGACCCATAACCGCTGGCTTCGAAGGGGGTGTAAGGAGTTGGTCAGCAGGGTCTGTTTATCTCAGATAGAGGCAAATAATTTGGGAAAGCACCGACTGAGGATTTCAGCTCCACGTTCAAACATATCCGGCGGGATTTCGTCAATATCAGCAGCTCGGAGACACTTGGGGGAGAAAACGTATTCGCTTGTTTCCGAAGCTATCGGGGTTCCAAGCCCACTATTCAAAGTGGTGTTTCGGGTCAACAATCCGGCTGAGCAACCGAAGGTAGCCAGTTTAATTGTTTTTAGAAGTGCCCACCAGATGAGAAAGGCCGGTTTTACCGGAAAATGTTTTGCTCACCCGAGTCCTGTCATGGACTGCAGTGCGTATCAGCTAGGGTGGCTTACGCGCATTCCAACGCTCCCACTTAATTCACCTCCTCAGTTTTCTGAACCCTCCGAGCTCCTCCGACCGCGTAGGTACACTTTTTCGCCTAAATTGGGACAGTTCTTCGATCAGTATTGTACTCTAAACGAGAAGGAGCATGTGTTCGAGCTTCGAGCAATTTTTGAGTCACCTGACATCTAGTATCTGGATCTAGTGATGAAACGTTTGCAATTCAACTGCCAAGCCCGGCGAAGGACCAACAACCAAGCAGCGCACTCCAGCTACCTATATTCCACAACAATGCCAATGTCCAGATCTGGTTGGTCAAACTATTCTTAGTAAGAGTCTACCTCAGAAAACTTCAGTTGGTAGTTCTTGTAGACTCGTTTCAAGTAAGGACCCGAAAGTTTCTTAGTGGCTAAGTGAGGTGGGTTTCAACTTGTGCACCTCTAGAAAGCCAAAGAGAGGAGGCAACAAACAAGCGCGTGATCCAAATTCAAATAAGTTTCTCAGAACGATTGACAACCAGTAAGTGACCTGCGCCACATGAATCTAATTACAATGTGGCGTCTGTACTAGAGATTGCTTCGCATGCACCACATGACCAGGCGGATTCGTTTCTTTCAAAGATAGTACTGCACAGAACCAGTATCGTAAGCATACAACCACAGCAGTCACCGGCTGATGCTAATTTCAGTTCAAGACAGTCACCCAATTGTGCCTCAGCAGCGCTAATTCTATCTACCGCATTGGGAATTAACATCTCCGGCCACCCGAAGGGTCAAAGCGTCATGGAAACTGTGCTTGAGAGCATCAGTCAGTTGGGCGTAAGCAGATATGAAGAACAGAAAGCGATTAGCGACGCGTTTACAAGATACTTTCACAGACTTTGGCAAACGAACCGCATAGAGCCGACTGTCAACGAGCAAACATTCAAGCAGACCCTTCTGCTCGGTAGTGTAATACATCAACTTCAGAAGGACCAGTCGCAGGGGCTTACGGAGGTAAGCAAACAGAAGCGATAAGAAACTAATGGGAAAGTATTTCAAACAACCGTATCTGGGGCTTGAATTCTTATTCCAAAAACAGAACACAGCTAAAAGACGAGTCCAACTTACATGCAAGGGCAGTCTGTCGTGCAGACTGTTTCACAGTTCCAGCGTTAAATACTGTTAAATGAACTGAGAGTTGGTGTTTGAAGAATGAATTCGATGTGTTCTAGGTCACGGTAGGCGACTTAATCGTAGGTGACTCAGCTATGGGCGTGGATAGATCTGTTAGCTCCTAAGAATGGACCTACGGAGATGTCTCTAGCAACGGGATAAGCAAGGAGAAGGAATATGTGAAAAAGAATGGGGGAGCTATCAGCAGTAGCCTGTTTTCGCTTACCCACCCTGCTATATGTAACCAGGCGTCCCGGCTGACGACAACACGTGATGCTGATGTTGTGTGGGACTGTAAATGTACATTCCATAGTTTTACGTGGCCTGGGATACTGTCGGGGCGCCAAGACCTAGATAAGAGGACAAATAGGGTCCTCAACCAAAGCTTGTTGCTCAAACTTCGAACCACAAGGCAGCGGGGCTTGAATGAAACCGTTAATTAGCTTGCATTTTTAAACATCAAGCCTCCACGCGTTCTAATCTCCAACCCGGAGGAGGGGTTACAGTGGGCAACTGAAACGTCGGATTAAAACATCTCATTACACCACGCCGTTTTGAATTTAAAATTTCCATGTTACACACCACATGGCACTCAGTTCTTTATACTACCCGAGGCAAATTCGGCCCGGAATTACTAAGCCTTGTCACACTTTACTCAGCTGACCTATCCGTTCTCCTTGACACGCTTGCTTAGCTTGGAATGGCCAATATGTCAATATAATGTTTTTGTATTCTCGAATTCCTAGACGTGTGAGGGTGTACAAGGAGCTCTCCAAAAGCTCCTGTGGACAGAATGGTGTCCGGTAAGGATGCTTAATTTATCCACTATTGTTCAATCTCGTGGTTGACCAGGTAATGAAACAAAACCCAAGAGTCCACATAGCTGCTGGTGGTAACCTTATCCATCTGGAATCTGCAGACATCGTCCTCGCCTTCGAAGAGAAGGCGGTGTTTTTGGATGAGCTGACTGAAGTTGTCCCGTCCTTTGGTATGCGCTTTGCACCCACAAAAATGTAGGGTCAGGCCCGTGGGAATGCAGCCATTGAACACGCCACTTACAATCCAAGGAAAGTACTCAAAATAGTAGGGCGTTTTAATTAACTTAGAAGCTGCATGAGTTCCGACTGTGGCAGCTGCGGTGAATACAGGGAACTCTAAGGCTCTGATCGCGTTGGTTACTTTGACACCTGTAGCGAGAGAGCGATATATACCAGAGCCTCAAGGAACGTGTGAGATTACGGTACGGACTGTATCATTGTGTGACCGTGAGACGTGCCCTCTTCGAGCGGCCGAACTAAGACGCTTTCAGGTCTTTGATGACCGTCGTCTCAGAATCAGAGGTCAGCAGAACTGATGCAGATGAATCCGTTAGGCAGTTAGAAAACAACTGTTCGGATGTGCAACAGCAAATTCGATCGAATTCAACGCATCAGCGTTGAACAGTGATGTGTTGTTAGTGATGGTGTGTTACATAAGCTGCTGAATCCCAGTAGAGCTTACTGTTTAGGTGTGCGTTTAGCTGTTTAAGCGTTCAGCTGTAGCACCCTTTCGGTGCCTAGCTGCCATGCCACCCGAAGGAAGCACGAGGGCTGGGATACTGCTAGGTTGCCCAAGCCTAGACAGGGGAAGTCGAGTGGCGGAGGTCGGATTCGAACCACGGACCTTCCGGTCAATAAATTCGCGCTCTAACCAATTGGGCCATATCGCATCTGAGACTCATTTGGAAGGTCGACATGGACTGGACTCAGTACGTACGGACAATGGGGAACGATTACTTCAACCGCGTGCTGATCGCAGGCTGTTTTTATGCAGTACGAACTTCCGAAATAGCCGAAGTCATCTGACCACTTGGTGTCCTCCAACAACAGGCCGGCCACAAACTCAAACCGACCACATTTACCGATGGCGCGGATGCATAACTAACTGCCGGTCGTTTTGGAACACATTTGTGGACTCTGACCACGCGCTCCGCTCGTCTCGCTTCTCCCTACGTTTCCCGGGGCCATGTAAGGTGCGGACAAATCGCATGAAAAACTGAAAGACTGGTAGCTCCAGATGTCAGACGAACTTAAAAGAATCGTCTTCTAGAGTCTCGTCCAAACGCTCCACCATCAGATGCGAACTCATACTGGGACGAGATTACCACCTCTTTGCACAGTGCTGAGAATTTTGCCTGTGGCGCGACCCAACCAGGCGCACTCAAGGACTGGATGTCAGGCCGAACGGTGGCACTACTTAAATCTCGCAGAAATATCCCAGCCGGTCCAGAATATAACCCGGTGCGAAGAGCTATCAGACGTGAAGTGAAAGTGAGCTTGCGATCCGACCGTGAAGTATGGTGCACACGGAAAGTCAAAGAAATGGAAGGGGCCCAGAAAGCCGGTAATGCTAGGAGATTATCTCAGTTGATCCGTGCGACCGGTCCCCGGAAACCACCTGTGAGTGAAAGCATCAAGCATCAGAATGCAACAACCATCTCGAACAAAGAAGAACGCCTCGACTGGTGGGCTGAATACTTCGAACAACTGTCGTGGTCACCAGCCGACACTCAGCTAGGGCCCACAGGTGAGGTAGAACCCTGGACGGTTAACGTGGAACCACCTACGGACTCGGAGGTTTACGACTGCATATGTTCTCTCAAGCACCACCGA